GGTGAGGGAGAAACTCCTTAGGGAGATGAACATCAAGGCTTTGGTCATACTGGAGGCCTGGCCCTGTGTATAAAATATCTCAAAGAAATGGGAAATTCTTTTTTCTTCTTGAAGACTCTCCATGTCCCCATTTTCTTACAACAGCAGTCTGTTGATCCTCCCACCTAAATGTGTGCCCCCTCCCTAGGGTTTTTGCCACAGTTCTGCCTCAGGTGTTTATTATCACTCGCCTGGACAATTGCAATTACAACTTGCTATTGACCATCTCAGACTTGCTCTGCATGGCTTTAATTTATATTATATTTAAATTTATCTTCATGACTGATTTTATCTTTTTACATTTTTAATTGCAGTATTTTCTGAAGGAGAAAGCACATATTCTACTGATGCTCAATTGATTTCTCTAAAGTCTTACCAGAGGGCAATTGAGCAATGTGTGCCAAAACCTGAAATAACCTAGCAATTCCACTTAGGGGGATTTTTGCCTAAGACAATGTAATGGTTAGCTTTATGAGTCAACTTGACTGGGCTAAGGGATGCCCAGATAGCTGGTAAGACATTACTTATGGGTATATCTGTGAAGGCGTTTCCAGATGAGATTCGCATTTGAATCAACAAACAGTAAAAAAAGATCCACCTTCACCGATGTCAGTGGGCATCCTCTAATCTGTAGAGAACCTGCATAGAAGGAAAAGGAGGAGAAAGACAGATTCTCTTTGAGCCGGTACATCCACCTTCTCCTGTCTTCAGATATCAGCACTTCTCACTCTCTGGCATTTGAACTTGAACTGAACTATCCTACCAGCTTCCCTAGTTTTTCAGCTTGTGGATGGCAGATCATGGCACTTCTCAGCCTCCAAAGTTGCTTAAGCCAATGTCTATCTATCCTATTGCTTCTGTTTCTCTGGCCAACCCTGACTAATGCAGAAAGTAGCTGAATAATTATTCAAATGAATATATAAAGCATATTCATTGCATCATTATCCTTAATAGTGAGACACTAGAAACATCCAAATGGTCTATCATGTGATATAAGTAGGTTATAGCACATTTAAAGAATATTATATACATGGTAAAAAGACAAGATATATAGAAACACACACATATATGAGTACAGACTTATAGATATTGTTAAAAGAAAACTTTAGACAAATTAAATGTAACAGAGTTTCATTGAGTGGAGCATGATTCGTGAATCATGCAGCCCCCTGAACCAAAATAGGTTCAGAGAGATTCTGGTGCTACAGTGTGGTTGAAGAAAATTTATGGCAGGAAAAGGCAAGAGACATACAGAAAACAGAAGTAAGGCTAGACACAGCTGGATTGGTTATAGTTTGGCTTCTGGCTTATTTGAGCACAGTTTTAACAGTTGACCACCTTTGAGTGGCCAAAACACAGTGATTGGTATAAGAGTAGGTTGCATACTGTTTACATGCCAAGTTAGGTTATAGTTCAGTATGTATAGAGAAACCTTTAGGCAGAACTTAAAATATGTAAGGTGGCAGCTTTAGGCTAAACCTAGTTTAACAACATAAATATAGAATTATATATATCAGCCAGGTGCGGTGGCTCATGCCTGTAATCCTAGCACTTTGGGAGGATGAGGCAAGCAGATTGCCTGAGCTCAGGAGTTCAAGACCAGCCTGGACAACACAGTGCTAAAATACGAAAAATTTCTGCTAAAATAAAGAAAATTAGTTGGGCATGGCGGCGTGTGCCTGTAGTCCCAGCTACTCAGGAACTTGAAGCATGAGAATCATCCGAATCCAAGAGGCAGAGGTTGCAGTGAGCCGAGATCACACCACTACACTCCAGCCTGGGCAACAGAGCAAGACTCCTTTTCAAAAATAAAAAATAAAAACAAAAAACAAAAAGTATATATAAGTATATGGGTACATAGAAAGATATATAAATATAGATGAGAAGATTTTGTTCATTATTGTTAAATGTAAAAGTTAGGTCACAGACTAGTATATATAACTCCACTTTTATTGACAATAATATAGTATTCACATATATGTTATTAACCACATTAAAAAGTCTAAAAGCTAAAGTATATTTGCCAAATAGTTACTTATAGTTCTCTCAGGAAAGAAGATACCTCTGTATTGTTTGATGTGTTAATGGTTAACTGATATTCTTTAATAATAAGATAAATTGTAAAGAGATTTCTGTCTGGGAAAAAAATAATTTTCATGTGCTATTTTTTATTCTTTACAGTATATACTAATTACAGTTCTGCCTACATTTTGTAAAATGTAACCATGAACATATGAGGAAATTCTGTGTTCATGTTTGCAATCTATCCATTTTTTTGGTATTTGTTTTAGACAGAGCCTCAATCTGTGGCCCAGGCTGGAGTACAGTTGTGCTATCTCAGCTCACTGCAACCTCCACCTCCTGCATTCAAATGATCCTCCTGCCTCAGCCTCCCAGGTAGCTGGGATTACAGGTGCACGCCACCACACCCAGCTAATTTTTGTATTTTTAGTAGAAACGGGTTTTCATCATGTTGGCCAGGCTCATCTCAAAGTCCTGACCTGGACAATTGAGACTGCCCGAGGAATAATCCATCTGTCTTGGCCTCTCAAAGTGCTGGAATTATAGACGTGAACTACTGTACCTGGCCCCACAATCTACCCAGTTGTTTAGGAACATCTGTATATCTCATGTATTGAGATTTACCCTCATGTTTGCTTTGAAACAGATACAAGTATAGACCGTTAGAAAACGTCAATGTATTCTTAATACATTCATCTCATGATATTATAGATAAAAGCAACTGGATTCCAAAATCCAATATAAGAATGTATGTAAAGAGTTAAATCCAGGAACCAAAGAAGCTTGTGTATCTGGGAGTGAATATAAGAGAGAAATGGTGAGGTTGGAAGACGTGGAGGGAGTGTTTCTGAGTAATACCATGTCCAGGTTAGACTACTGTATTTTTTGTTTCTGTTTCAGTTTATTGTTTTTCAAATTTATAAAAACTTTTGTTCATCCTTCTAACCTAATCGAAGGTAACAGTCTTTATTTTGAGACAAATGTGGTTTAATAGAACACAATTTCTAAAGTTCTAAGTGCTGAGCTACATATTACATATTAACTTTATGATCATGGCTTTGTCACTAATTCCTCAGACTGTTCATTTGTAAAACAATAGGAGGTGGTTCCCTCACAGGATTCCTCCTAAGGGTAAAGCACTTTCAAAATTATTATCCCTTTTTCCCTTTTTATTTTTGTCAGCATTCTTTCAAAATTTCCAGAGGCCACCCTCGTCACTATTTCTCAGGAATTTTTTTTTTTTTAATAAAAGGTCTTATTGTTTGAGTCCAAGTAGGAGGGATGAAAGATTTGGAGAGTTTGAGGAAAATGTGGATTCATGTCTTACATGCACAAATTACTTTCTCAATGTCTACAGATAAGCCAACATGGTTTCTATCCTCATCTGAAAAGTTAGATTTCTAATCCCTACTTCATGGTATGGTTGTACAGCTCAAATTAGACCACAGATATAAAAATCCTTCATAAACTATTATGTGTCATATGGATTAAAGCAAGCATTAATAGCATGGATATTGACAACACATACTAATTACTGATTCTTTTCATACAATACCAGTTAGTGCTGTTTATAAGAATTGTAGGGTGATAATGGAACTTAGAATCATGGTATAATTAACAACCTACCAAGCTTTAGATTCAAGGCTCTCAAAAAATATATTTTGATATCTGAAGCCTACATATTATCTGAACCTTTATCAGGTGCCTTTGAAGGTCCAGGTTTATCCAGGAAATGTAGTGCCTTGGAGGGTCCTCTATACAGGAATGATATATGCTCACCTGGCTGGAGCGTGTTTGTTACTGGAAGAGAGTCCTGATTCTGACCCCAAAAGAGGGTTGTGGATCTCACACAAGAAATAATTTCTGGGGAGTCCATAAAGTGAAAGCAAGTTTATTAAGAAAGTAAATGATAAAGAATGGCTACTCCATAGGCAGAGCAGCAGCTTGGGCTGCTGGACTGAAAATGCCTATGGTTATTTCTTGATTATATGCTAAACTGAAGGTAGATTGTCCATGAGTTTTCCAGGAAGAGGTGGGCAATTCCCAGAACGGACGGTTCCTCCCACTTTTAGACCCCATAGGGTAACTTCCTGATGTTACCAAGGCATTTGTAAACTGTGATGGTGCTGGTGAGAGTCTCTTGGCATGCTAATGTTATAAGTAGAATTTTCAGTGCCACAAAAGAAGTAGCAATCGAATGTAAATTTCCTCAGCAAGGCAATTTACTTCTATAGAAGGGTGTGGCTCACAGATGGAGCAATGGCGAGCACATGCCTGGACAAGGAAGGGAAGGGGCACTTATGCCTGACGGAGGTCGCCCCTACTGCTGTGTCATTCCGCTATTGGCTAGGGGTAGACTGCACAGTCTAGTCTAATTCTGACTGGCTATTTTAAAGGGAGCACTTCCCTTGCCATCTTGGTTTTGGTGGGATTTGGCAGGCTTCTTTACCACACGCTATTTTGTCAGCAAGATCTTTATGGCCTGTTTCTTGTGCCAATCTCCCATCTCCCTGTGACTAAGAACACCAAACCTACTGGGAATGCAGCCCAGCAGGTCTTGGCCTCATTTTACCCGGCCCCTATTCAAGATGGAGTCGCTCTGGTTCGAAGGTCTCTGACATTTTGATGGGCACAGAGGGCCTCTCTCTCACTCCCCCTGACATTTCTTTCTCGCTGCTGGAATTCTTCACTGTGAGGGGATTGGGTCCTGACACTGGTCAGAGCCGGGATGTGTGTCCCCAATGCCCACAATCTGTGTCCTTCCTTCGTGCCTTACTTAAAAGAACAAGGAGTCTAATAAAATAAAATGATGTATGTGAAGCACTTTGTCATGCACAAAGAGCTAGTACTGATGTTGGCTTTTCTTTAGGGTTTTTATTTTCATCGTTTATGTTAAAAACTATATTGGGAGCCGGCTGGGCCGCCATCTGTGGATGCACCTTCTGTAGAGCATGCTGCTCGTGCGACGGCTGTGCTCCGGGTCATTTCTCATGCGGTACTGGGAGCAGTTGTTAAATGGGACTTCCGAAGCTGCAAAGCAAGCATTGTGACCGCTTATCATCATTATGTGAACTTGGTATTATCCTTTTGCCAAAAACATCTGCCTGAAAGATTGCTGCAGGAAGCAACTGGTAAAAAGTAAGATTCTAGCTTAGCCTGTCATTCACTTTGCTCGAATTAAACCCATTTGCATTTCTAAAATGTATTAGTTCTATTCAAAGCCTGCCATAGAAATGGAAATGGCCTTGGGGAACAGCCTGTTTCTAATCAGTGATCCTGGAAGATGAGGCAGTGACTGACTTTGAAATCCAACCTAGCTTTCTCTGCAGGAAACCCCAGATGCAAGTTTCTAAAGGTAATCAGATGTAAATGCCACTTTCCTTCTGAGTGCCACTAATTACCCAGGGTCCTGGCACTTGGAGCTGTCAGAGCTGATTCAAGAGCCAGTGAAGAGAATTTCCTCTAGAGGATACGAGATAAAAGTTGCAAAACAATAACTGCAAACCAAAAAGCTATTCTTTCTATTTATTTACTTATTTGTATTTATTTATTTATTTGTTTTTGAGACAGAGTCGCACTTTGTCGCCCGTGCTGGAGTGCGGTGGCATGATCTCGGCTCACTGCAACCTCTGCCTCCCGGGTCCAGGCAATTCTGCCTCAGCTTCTTGAGTAGCTGGGATTACAGATGTGTACCACCACACCCATCTAATTTTTGTATTTTTAGTAGAGACAGGGTTTCACCTTGTTGGCCAGCTGGTCTCAAACTCCCAACCTCAGGTGATCCACATGCCTCAGCCCCCAAAGTACTGGGATTACTGGTGTGAGCCACCACCCCCGGCCCAAAAAGCCATTCTTAAATCTTTAGTGAACTTCTTTTGGTTAGGAAAGACAGAAGACCCTGGTGAAAAGTTGAAAGGGTTCTAAAATCCTGGTTCTATCAAGGAAGGGAATAATGAGGAGTTAAGCTCAGAAAAACAATCCGTAGGAGGAAAAAACTAAAAGTTTTCTGTTATTTATTTATTTTGGTCAAGATCTCACTCTGTCACCCGGGCTGGAGTGCTGTAGTGTCATCTCAGCTCACTGCAGCCTCGAACTCCCAGGCTCAAGTGACCCTCCCACCTCAGCATTCAGGGTATCTGGGACTATAGGCATGCACCCCTACACCAGGCCAATTTTTTTGTATATTTTTATAGACACGGAGTTTTCTATAAAACCATGTTTCCCAGGCTTGTCTCAACCTCCTGGGCTCAAGAGATCCGCCCATCTCAGCCTCCCAAAGTTCTAGTATGTTACAGGCGTGAGCCACCACAACTTCCCTGGTTTTTTATTTTTTAATGAACCACTAAAAATTGCTACTAAGAATTGGTATGCTCCAAAACCAGCAATGATGATCCATGAGTGTGTCATCTGTCCCTTCACATGAGTCTACAGGCAGTGCCAGCCCAGCACTATTCCAGACACTAGCTGTCACTCTGAGGTCAGATGTGTGCCCCACGTGATTTATTGGTGTTTGGGGGAGTTCTCAAACTTTTGTCCATATTTCCCAGAGCCAGATTCTTCTTGGGTTCGAAATATGCTCACAATTATAATTACAAACATGGATTCATAATGTAACACCCAAAAAAGTCCAAACACCCATGTGGGTATTCATTTGCACTTTGCAAAACATCACCCAGACTGTGCGTCCACCAAGGTGCTTGAATAGTGAGCGAGCCTTGGGTCTGCATGGCTCTGTGATTTGCCACCATTACTAGGGACACGACAGATTTTGTAAAAGATAAAATGCTTCTGAGTGAAAAACGGCTCTCACATGAAAAAGAAAAATTGCATGAATAAAATTTAAAAGATTTTTCTTAGAAAGGTATGCAAAGGAAATGTGTGCCTGATGATTGAAATGTGACTTGGGGATGACATCTTCGATCTATTCTACCATTTTATTTTTACTGGTGAATTTTGGGATTTACAGTTCTCAGGTCTGGTCTGTAACTGCTGAGGACCTGTGGTATTTGCCTGCCTCAATTCCTGCCCTTTTGGGAATTGCAGGCCCTCTTAAAAGTTTCTTTTAAATATTTCAGGGCTCCTAGAGGAGATACCACATGTTTATTCAATAACTAATTACTGTGTACCAAGTGCCATACACTGTGTCCAAAAATGGGAATACAACGGTATTATCTCTGCTGGTACGGAGCGCTGCTATAAAATCATCATTTCTTTCCCTCCTATTCTGATCCCCAGAGGGACTAGGCATCGGATTCCCTGGAAATCTCAAACATTGCTGATGATCATGAAAAATGAAATCATCATTGTATTCAGTTCCTATGACTGCTGAAACATATCACTACAATGTCTGTGGCTTAAAACAATATAAATTTGTCAAACTACGATCATGTAGGTTGTGTACAGATATTTGGAATTAGTCTTGGGGAGCTGATATAACTTAAATATTGACAAGTCCTCTGAAGAAGTAAAGGAGAGTGATATGGCGTGTGACCGGGGAGGTGCTGGGCACGGGAGACTTCTCTGAGGAGATGGCTTGAAGCTGAGACCCAGACCATGTGCAGAAGCAACTAGGAAGAAAGCCTGGGGAGCCCTTGAGACAGAGGAAGCAGCTGGTGCAAAGGCTGTGGGTAGGAATGAAACTGGCACACTGGCGAAGGCCAGTGTGGCCAGGGGTATGGGAGTTAGGAGAGATTGGCACTGGATGGAGACTGCTGGTGCAGACGGAGGCCAGATTGCAGAAAGCATCTGTAGGTCTGGTAGAGGACTTTGGCTCTGTCCTGGGAGCAATGGAATGCCAAGAGAGTTTTTTTTGTTTGTTTTTTTGTTTTTGTTTTTGTTGTTGTTGTTAACTAATCGGAATTGCTAAATGAACTCTTTGGTTATTGTACGGAGAATAGGCTCTTTGAGAAGCAGAGATACGGGTTTCAAGATAAGTTCAGTAATCTGGGCAAGAGATAGTGAGAGTTTATTGTATAGTGGAAGTTATGGGGGATTCAGGATGTATTTTTGAATATTTTTTATCCTTCTGGTAGATGAAGTTGCATAAAAAAATACTCAAGGAAAACATTGGTTTTTTTTTTTCTCAAGAAGATATGCAGATTTGCTTAGGAAGAATGGGAAAACAGGAACACAAATGGATTACAAAGGTTGGTGGGGGCAGCTGGAGTGGAGCTCCATTTGGGATAAGTCAAGTCTGTTGGAAGAAGAGATTCAGATCCACAGCTGGCGATCTCAGTCTGAAGCTTAGAGGAATGACCCGGGGGGGAAATATAAATGAGGAGTCATAAGAGATACAGAGACACCCACAGCAGGACACTCTGCTGCTACCACCAATGTGATCAGTTCTCTGAGGCCTGGATGCTGCAAAGACAGGTGGACTCTGGGAAAGGGGAGAAGCAGCCCCTGGGCACAGAGAGTTATTCATGGCCTAGAAGACACAAAGCCAATTTCAGACTGAATGAGACTCCGCTGATCTCTGGCCCAGCCCAAGTCCCTGTGCGGGAATACGGGCTCACCAAGGAAGGAGCCACCAGGAAAAGATGCCAGAGCCTAAAGGAGAAACCACACTCTGGTGTCCTTGCAGGCAGGCATCAGCAGCAGCCTGGGTGTGTTTGTCACAGACCATTTTTTAAATATTGAATTATTTGCCAATATATTAAACTTTAGAGGGTTTTTTCCCTCTCAAAAATTGTGAAAAGGCATAATAACCCAGAGCCCATATTTCCTCTTGACAACCATCAGCTGCAGCTGAGATACCTACTCTGTAGTCACCACCGTGCTCACTCAGAAGGGCGTTAAGCCCTGCACCTTGAATAAATAAAAAGCCAGATTATATAGAGGAAGAAAAAAATCACTGTTTCTGCCATTGGGCCAACAGAATCCCCAGCCAAAGGTTACCACCCTAAAGCATTGCTGTATTCCGCTAAGCAAAGGAATAAGAGCCACTTGCTAAAAAGGTCTAGCTCTCCATGAAGGAGCTTGGTCACCCATCAAGATTTAGGGACATGTGCTTGAAAAGGCCATGAAAAGGTTGACTCTCACTTCTCTCACAATTTTCTAGTACAAAATTTTTCTTTGCAGAAATAGAGCTTACATGATACCTAGACAGCAG